CTGCCACCCGCCGCCTCTGCCTCCCAGGCTGCCCTCCGCTGCAGGGCCACCATGCTTCTGCCAAGGCCTGGAGACTGAGCCCTAAGCCGTCACCATCTCGAGGCCCTGTCCTCCCCGGCCGGACCCCAGGGTAAGGATCAGGGCCCTCAGCCTCACAGCTGCAGTCCTGAGGACATGGGTTCCCTTACCCGCCGCCGCCCCACTTCCCAGTACAGGGGCTCCCAGAATGGACTGTCTGGCTTCTCCCTGAGGGCCTAGGAGTTTCATCCTGCTCTCCCTTCAGAGTCAGAGTATGGACCCAGGAGTCCAGGCCCCAGATCTGTCTTCCCTCTTGCCAAGGAGTCATAGCCCCCGAATTCCTCCTTCTCCAGGCCCTCAGCCCTCTCTTCCCTCAGACCCAGGAGCTCCAATCCTCAACCTCCTCCTCCTCCTCCTCAGGCTCAGACCTGCAAACCCAGGTGTCCCCCTGGTGCTGACAGACACTGACCCCATCCTTGAACCCAGCCTGGTCTGCACCCGTGATCATGGCATGCTCTGGCCAGGGCCCAGTCCCTCCAGCCTCCCTGGATGGGTGCCTGGGACTGGGGGCGCAGGTCGGGGCTGGGCTGGGCTCCCCCGGTCCTGCCTCCTTGTTCATCTCCCCACAGGTCCCGCCCCGGCCTAGGAGGTCAGCCGGGGAATCATTAACGAGAAAGTGACATGGCTGAGAAGGAGGGTGAGTCCCCCTTACCTGAGCCCCAACTTTGGCTCTGCCTGGTGCCCCTTCTGCTGTATCCTCTCCTTTATCCTCCAGCCCACGGAGCCCCTCATCCTAGGCACCCCTCCCAGGCCCACTCCACCCCTCTGGGGACTCCTGCACCTGATTAAATATTAACCACATTTTCTGAGGGGCTCTGCCATCACCTGCCTTCCTGCCACCTCCTAGGATCTTTCAGACACCCTACCTCAGTTTCCCCTCACTGCCCCCTCCTCAGTGGTTTTTCAACTAACCCTGGATCCAACCTCTACTTGAGGCTGAGGTGGGGACACTGCTGTAGCTGTCACGGTTAAGGACTCAGGTCCTAGAGTAAAACCCACAGGGCTGCATCTGAATTTGCTTCTGCTCCTTTTTCGCTGTGTGATCTTGTGCAAGCGACATTATTTCTCCAGGCTTCAGTTTCCCCCGGGTTGAGTGCAGATCCTAATTCTCTCTCTGTGAGGTGGTTGGGAGAGGGGGGCGCAGGACATCAACTGGAGCTGTCATGATGGGGGCCCAAGGACCCCACCAACTCCAGACAGTCCTCCCACCTCCTGGCTCAGTCACGGAAGAGCAGGGGGAGGACTTTGGACTCAGCCCTGAGGGATGGAGAAGGGAGAGGCAGTGCAGAAGCTGCAGCAGGGATGACGGAGAGAAGCACTTTCTAGCTGTGTGGCCCCTGGGCACACAGCTAACCCTCTCTGGGCTCCATTTTCCTCTGCAAAATGGAGATGAGAGTAGCACGGAACTCAGAGCTGGGTGTGAGGAGGCACCAAACATCTTGGCTGAAATGATTAGCTTGGTTTTCTGGCTTCTTTGGCTCCCAGTTTGGTGTAGGTAGCAACTCAGGCCCCAAACCATTCGGCTGTGATCCAGAGCAAACCCAGGCTCCCAGTCACTCGGGAGAAGGTGCCACACTGGCTGGGCAGGCGGATATAAAGCCTAGCCCCTTTGTGCCAGTTTATTTCCTGGAGCTGATGCCAGGGTTGGGGCCTGTGGGTGACTGACCAAGGGAAGAAAAGCAGCAAATGCTGGGACAGGCGGAGATTGGTCTGCCTATAAAGGAAAAGATGCAGAGGGCCTGGTGTATTCCCAGAAGCTTGGGGTGTGGGGCCATGTCTGGACGCAGGTGTGGACGGCTTTGATGCTGCACCTGCTTGCTGGTGGCTCCACCTATTTTCTGGTCTCCTTTCCTCATCTATAAGTGACAACAGTCCCTTCCTAATTGTCAGCGGCAGAGGTTAAGGACGGTGCAGAAGAGAACAGGGTTAAGGCAGTGTTGTGAGTTGGCGTGGGATCCTGAGAGCTGGGGCCGTGTCAGTGACCACTGGTATTATCGTTACCACTGTTGAAGTGTCCCCAGAGGTCGCAGTGCTGTGGGTCTTGGAATTGAGGTGGTGACTTGAGGGATGGTAGGGCAGAGGCACAGCATGCTGGAAGCTGGGGTGTCAGAGTGCCCCTGTGTAGGGTGCAGAGATAGCCCTGGAGAGTTTGGAGGTGAGGATGGAAACGGATATGGGTGGTCCACATGTGTCCCCCGCTCTTGTTGGAGCAGACTGTTGGGACCAAGGTGAGGAAGAGGAGATTCCCTGGTGGTGCTGGGTCTCTCCACAAGGTGGCGCTGGTGGTTATTCTTTCTTTTTCTTTCTAACTGGGATTTTTCACGTGTGGCTGGGTTGCTCACTGGAAGCTCTGCTGGGTGTCTGACAATGGCCCGTGGCTGTCTCAGAATTTGAGGAGATGTATGTTTAAAAAGCCATGCTTATATCTGACAAGGTTGGAGTGCTGGAATGAGGGCTTTAGCCTCCATCCTGGGGAGTCATAGAGGGTTCTAGGTAAAAGACTGAGTTGGGTTTGGTATTTAGTAAGGTTTCCAGGCTCCATATTGCTCAAGAGGGGAAGAGAGCTCCGCAGTCAGATGGGGCTGGACCAAGGTGGGACTGGGGGAAAGAAGGGAAGGGGGACAGCAGAGTTACCCAGGAGGCCTGGTGGGCTGCCAAACTGGCAAGCTGTAGGGGGACAGAAGTGTGGGGACAGGGGCCTCTGAGACAGGACCTGTGAGGGAGAGGAGCCTTGCAGCTGAGCATTGTGGGGCTCGCTTGTAATCTAGTTACTTGGGAGGCTGAAGAAGGAAGATTGCAAGTTTGAGCTCAGCCTGGGTGACTTAGCAAGAGCCTATCTCAAAATAGAATCAAAAGGGGGCCGGGGATATACCTCGGAGATACCTGGGTTCTGTTCCTGGAACAAAAGGAAACAAAGAGCAGATTGGTAGGGACGTAGAAGCCAGTGTGGGGTGCGGTGGGTGAAGAGAGACTAGAAGGTTCTAGAGGAAGGTGTCTAAGAGGCTGTGGGACCCCCAGTCTGGGACTCAGAAGAGAGTCCAGGCCCGGGGATAGAGAGGGGAAACAGAGGCCACAGAGATAGCGGAGATAGACAGGAGCAGGGAGGGATGAAGGGGAAGGGACCACAACCTACCTTGTGAATTCCAGATTTTGGGGCAGGGGATAGAGAGTTGAACTGAAGAGCTGGCCCCTCAGAGAAGTAGAAGGAAAATGGAGTCCAGAGTCCAGAGGGGAGAGACCATCACCCAGGAAGCTGGAGTTATTTAAAAGGAAGCCTGGCATGGTGGTGCATCCCTATAATTCCAGCACTCTGGGAGGCTGAGGCAGGAGGATTGCAAGTTCAAGTCTTGGCCAGGCAACTTAGTGACTTAGTAAAACATTTTAAAAAGGACTGGGGATGTAGTTTAATGGGAAGGCTCTGGGAGGACAGAGACCTGGAGCCATCGATTGGGTGGAGTTTGAGAGGCCAGAAGTTAAAGGTGTCACCTCTGAGGGTCTTGGCAGCTACATTGGTAGGAGCAAAATCATCTGGGGAGAAGATGTGGGACAGCTGAGAATCTCCTGAGAAATGGGGAGCAGAGAGTCTCAGGGAGAAGAGGGAGCAGGGAGGCCTGGCTCACGGAGGACAGAGTTGAAGAGCAAGGGTGCTTCCTGCCCCAACAAAAACACACAAAGAGGGCACTTCTCACACTGGGGGCACCAGAGTGAAGGTGAGTCCTGTGTCACCTGAGGCACCTGTTTTGGAGGCATCCAAAGTCCTGAGCCGGAGGGCAGGGAAGAAAGTGCTTTCCCGTCACCCTAGAAGATACTAGGGCCTCTGGGTTGGTCCGCGTAGCCCAGGCAGCTACTTTTGCAGACAGAGGAGTTGGGGGAAGCCTGATCCTCTCCCAAACGAAAAGGCAGGCAGGGGCAGAGCTGGTAGACGGGCTAGGAGGCCATGTTGAGACAGGCAGGGTCTCCCAGCAGGGTTGGGCGAGGCTGGTCTGGCCCTCTGGGGCCCCTCTGAGGGAGAGTGTTTCCTCATGCTTTGATGGGAGCTACTGGGCTCTTAGATGCTTAAGCCACTCAAACAGTGGGTGTCCCTGCAAGATCCTGGACCGCACCCTGCTCTGTTCCCGATACTGGCCTGGCACTGCGCCCACAGCCGTACCACCACGGTCACAGATAGGAGGACTGGGAGTGCTTTGACATAAGCTGGGGTCAGTGAAGTTTTGAGTGGCCTTTTCTCTCTGGTCCTCTTGATCTGAGTGGAAGAGTTGGCATATAAGCTCCAGGACCTCTGTCTCCCTGGGAGTAGAATCCCTCTTCTCCCTGGGCCACACCTCTTTGCTGGCCCTGCCATTCTGACCACCTCTCTGCCCCTCCCTTCCTGCAGGACATGCCCTTCCCACCTCATGGCCTTAGCCCGGGCTGTTCCCTCTTCCTTGAAGTCTTTGCGTGGCTGGCTTTTCATTCTATTCTTAGGTCCAAAGTCTCTTCTGTTCCCTTTCCAGAAGCCCCGTTTGCTGCCCTCAGCTTGCCTTAGTTTCATAGCTTTTGCCACAATCTAGAAACAACTGGGCTCATTTTCTTGTGATGCGCCTCATCCCTGCTCATATTCCCTCGTGTGTAAGCCCTGCGAGAGCCATCCTCTTATCTGTCTTGTTTTGGGGTCTGTTCCTGGAGCCTAGGTTGCTGCCAGGGGCATGGCAGATGCTCACCAAGATGATAAGCGAATAAAGCTGCATTTTACTGATGGAAATATTGTGGTTCAGAGAGGCAGAGGGAGGTACCCAGGGCCACACAGCTTATTGGGAACTTGCTGTTCATCAGCACCCTGACACAGCGATAGGTGTTATGGCTCTGTGGTATATACTTTGGACCCAGCAGCAAATCTGCCCAGGGTTCAGTGCTCAGCGCTGACCCCCCGAGGCTGAGTCGCCATGGGGACGTGACCCCATCTGGAACCATCGGAGCAATGGGAATGGCAGTGTAGGGTTGAGATGAGGACCGAATAGCTTGTGTGTTTAGAGCACTGCCTTTGCACATCGTAATCGTCACCGAGAGTTTGGTTGTTGCTATTTAAAATAACTTTGTTATTATTATTTTAATTTTTTGCAGAACCAGGGGTCGAACTCAGGGTGTTGTGCTTGCCAGGCAGGTGCAGTGCCACTGAGCTAAACCCCCGGCCCATAAAAGAACTTGAAAGGGCTACTTTTAGAAGTAGGTGCTAGGTGGTTCCCATTTAACAGAGGAGGAGGAAGAGGCTCAAAAAGGTGATGTCCCCTGCCAAGATCTTAGCCGGGAATGGGTAGTATTCTAAAATAAGGCTGAAAAACTTCCAAACTTGGATTCTCAGCCTCCAGGAGACAGATTTGATCTTGGAGTGGGGTCCTGTGAGAGAACGTGGCTCAGAGGGTGACTGGGGCAAAGAATCTATGACAGCAGAAAATAGGCAGTGAAGAAATGCTAAGAGGAGGGAAGAGAGCTGACAAGAGGGCAAAGGTCAGGGGTTCCAGACCCCACCCCCACCCCACCCCAAAGCTTCAGGAGCCTCTGGACAACTTAGCAAGAGTGAGAGGCCCAGGAACAGAAAGTGACCAAAGAAGTACAGGAGCACAGTGTCAGCGGGAGGAGTGAGCCCATAAATGCCAGGGAAGTGCCAGGGGCGGAGGCAGGAAGGGCAGCGCTGGGCTGGAGCCCTCCAGGAGCCGGACACTTGGCTGTCCACAAGGCAGGGGAGGGACGGCCCTGCCAACCTGTCAACCCAGGAAGCAGGACCCAGGGTGCAGCAGGGGGCAGGGTGGGGCTGGCCCAGTGCCGGAGCCTGGGGGAACGAGGACAGGCCTGGCAGTGGCCCCAGCATGGTGTCTGTTGCAGGTGGCCGGATTGTGCCGTGCTCCAGACCCAAGGTGGCAGCTCTCACTGTGGGGACCCTGCTACTCCTGACAGGCATCGGGGCGGCATCCTGGGCCATTGGTGAGAGCGGTTGGCCCCTGTGCCTCTACCCTCCCCAGCCCGTCCCCCCAGCCTCCTGCCTCACCTCTGCCTTCTCTGTAGTGACCGTCCTATTCAGGAGTGACCAAGAGCCGCTGTACCCGGGTGAGTACCGTAGGCTGGGACCCTCTGCGGAGCCCCAGAGGAAACCTGTTTGTGGGGGGAGCTCAGTAAAAAATATTTTTGTTTCTTTTTGGTACCAGGGATAGAACTCGGGTCCCTGCACTTGTGAGGCAGGTGGAACCACTGAGCTAAATCCCAGCCCTAAAAACTATTACTGTTTGCATGGTTTTGTTTTTGGTACTGGGGATTGAACTCTGGTCCTTGCACTTGTAAGGCAGGAGCCAGAAACACTGAGCTAAATCCCTGGCCCCTAAAAAAGTATTTTGCATGAACGTTTGTATACCTCTGAAATGCTCATAATAGTAGTGTATTTGGACTGAGTGCTGCGTCTAAGGCAGAGTCTAATAAGCACTTTACACGTCTAACCCGGTGGTTTTCAGGCTCCCAGCGGGTTACCCATTAGTGAGCCATGAAATTAAATGAGGGAGTTGAAAGCTCCATTTTTTAAAAGTATGAAGTAGATTAGATTAGAAAGTATCACTGTACATGTCTCCCAGGAAGAAAATGTTTTGTTACTGCTTTGTTTTGGTTTTATGCGATCGTGTATATGCGATCCTGTGGCTTCTTCCCAGCAGCTCTAGGAGGTGGGATTGTTACTCTCCTCCTTTTACAGGGGAAACCGAGGCTCGGTAATGAAGCGGTTTTCCCCAGATCACAGAGCTCCCGGGGGCCACACCATGATATACAAATGTGTTTTGTACCTGTTCCAGAGGTACCACATGGATTCAGTGGCCCCTTCCACCTCTCCGAGGAGGTAGCGGCTACTGTTTGCCCGTTTTATAGATGTGGAAGGTGAGGACCGGAGAGGACACACAGCTGGTCAATGAGCTCTTAGACAGGCCTGCGGTGGACAGACTGCAGGATGTAGGATGAATGAGTGAATCTACCCAGGGTCCAACTCTATGGTGCCATTCTGCTACAGGGCTGCAGAAAGAAGGGGTGGTAGGATGTACTCTTCACATTCCCCAGTGTCCTCTAATTCCATAAAGGATGCAGCTCACATCACAAGAAGAAATGAAAATCTAGACACGAAAAGCCAAAGCAACATTCACCATCCTCTTTGGGACTGCGGTGGGATTTATCTGTGCCAGGCACAGGCTTGGGGCTTGATGAGATCCATTCACTCAGTCCTCAGCTCAGCCCGTTTTCCTGTGGGGAAGCCGAGGCCCAGAAGGGCCAAACTATGCGGCCCCTGGTCCATAGCGATGTGGCAGGGCTGGGACCAGCCCCCGTGCAGCCTCGGTGGTAACTGAGGGCAACTCCCCTGAGATTGTTCCGAAATCACTGAATCCATCATCATGTGAAGAATAACACATACTGAGCGAGAGCGCTGTTTGCGGATTTGCCCTGCCGGTCTGTGGAGTTGGGGCTGTTCACATCCCAGTGCTTGGTATATGGGGGAATCGCAGGCCCGGTGAAGTGAACTCACTTCCCCAAGACCATGTCACAGATAAATGGCAGAGCAATGAGATCAGGCCTCCGTGGCTCTCTAGGGCCTCAAGATGAGATCCTGACCCTCCTTGGCTCCTAGAATGCTCCCTGGACCCTGCCCTGGGTCCTGCTGAGGAGCTTGAGGGGCTCCAATCCCTGGGCTTCCTCTCATTCATCCAGATGCCTGTTCTTCCTGTCCCCACGGCGCCAAAGCCCTGACTCCCCCGCACACACCTAGAACAATTTCCTTCTGTGCTGTCGCTTCAGAGCTCAGGGCCTCACACCAGCCCCGACCTGCTGGAAGCCTCAGTTTCCTCATCCAGGAGGCAGGGTGAGAGAACCACGGGAGAGGGGAGGAGGTGACTATCCTAGCTGTCCCTGCGGGGCTTGGCGCTTGGCTAACTCCACCAGCGCGGCACAGGCTCCTCCTGTTCCAGTTTCAGTCCCCTTGAGCTTCCTGGACACCCCTATATCTCACCGTCCCTACCACCCCACGGCCATCCCTCTGCCCCCGGCAAGCCCTCCCTCACATTCAGGGTTAATCATTTACTGAAGGCACAAGTCAGACCGGCTGGGACATTTTGTTTATTGCTCCAACAGTGCCTGGCACATAGTAGGCTCTCAGGAAATCTCTGGTGAATGAATCAGTGCACAAAAAAAAAAATCACTGAGATGCACCCGCTTGTCCTGGGCCTCCAGCTGGGAGTCACCGGCTACGTCGAGGTGTGGCTGGTGCCAGGGCCCTTGCCCTCCAGTCATACTTGAGTGTTTCCCAAAACACTGAGAAATTATGAGACAAACAAACAAAAACAACCCCCCCAAATAACTCCCATCTTGTTTTTCTGGGATTTTCACACCTCTAAATATATCAGGCAATTTGGTAAGAGTACCAGCTGACCCAGAACATACTTTTTGCATTGCTTAAAATAATATAAATGAGAATAAAGAACTTAAAAGTGGCATAAAATGTAGCTTTAAAAATAATCAGAGGAAGCATTTGATGTACCCACACCTCACCTAACCCACATCCATTAAAGTCACATTGTCTTCCTCAAATCCTACTCTTGCTGGAAATTTCTGCAAGCAGTTAGGAGTCATTTTAAAGTGAGACTTTGAGCCTAGCGTGATGATGCAGGCCTGTAATCCCAGAACCCTAGAAGGTAGGAGGATTGTAAATTTGAGCCCAACCTGGGGAATTTAGCAAACTAAGGAGACCCTGTCTCAAAATTTAAAATAAGGGCTGAGGATGTAGCTCAGTGCAAAGGTCTTAGATTCAATCCCCAGTATCACACACATAAAAGAAATTTTTTAAAAATAAAAAATAAGGGCCGGGGATTTAGCTCAGTGGTTCGGTGACCTGCCTTGCAATCACAAGGACCCGAGTTTAATCCCCGGTACCAAAAAAAATTTAAAAAATAAAATAAGAACTTACTGCCCCCGAGTTGCTGTCCTAAACCTGTTTTGGTCTTGAGCTCAGGGAGTGGTGGTCACTATCCAGCTGAGGTGCTGGGCACCCCTGCCTCACCCCAGAGCAGTAGCTTTCAGATGGCTGAGTGTACTCAAGGCAGGGACAGGTGAGAGCCTGTGTGAGACCCACAGAAGGAGCAGAGAGTGAAGATTGGCCGGTCTGGGTTCAAACCCTGGCTTGGCCAGGATTAGCTGTGTGTCCCTGGGTACATGTATACCTCCAAGGCTCAGTTCCCTCATCTGTGAGACAGAGAAGTGATTACCAGGGTTGAATCCCTTAGGCCTGTTTTCAAATCCTGCCTCTCTGCCTCTCACCTTCTTGGTGATGTTGGGTAAGTCGCCACCTCTCCAAGTCTCAGCCTGTGCAGCTGGAAAAGGGAAGGAGATGTCAGTGATCCCTGGGGAGTGGCAAGGCCTTTACCGGTGGGGCAGGGAGAGACAGCAGCATTGTCCCAGGCATGCAATAGGTGCTGAGTCGTCCTTGGTCATCTTGTCTTTCCTGGTCTGGACCTGCAAGGGGTGCCCAAGAGGACTCAGCCTGCACGTGGCCTTGTCAGGTGCTAATACAAGGATACAAACCTGTGTTGTCACCAGACTTGGTGGCCTGAGGACACGGCCGCGCTGGAGCATCCTGAGGGAAGCTCTCTTTCCCGACCTGCTCCTTCCACCTTCCCCACCTGTGCTAGTGGCAGCTCTGTCCTTCTAGTGGCTCAGATCAAACCCCTTGACCCTCTCCTTCGTCCCTTCCCACTCACACACGAGTCCAGTCTCTCAGCAGCTCCTGCCGGCTCCGCCTACAGAATCTATCCAGAATGCAGCTCTTCTCCCTGTACCGCCTGTGTCCCTTCAGAGCTGGGCATCATGCGGCCCCCAGCCTGATCTTCTGCTCCACCCCACCCCAGTCTGTCTCTTCCTGGGACCCAGAACCTGTGCACAGCCGTGCCGCTGCAGCTGACGGCCGCGTCCGAGGGTCGCTCCGTTGCTCCCCTCTTCCCTGGCTCTTCGCTGTCCCCTGTGCACACCTCAGCCTCGCGACTTCGCGTGCAGCTCCTTGGCCTCCTGTCGCTGTCCCCATATGTACTTCTGTGACTCTCTCACCTCAGCCTTCCCTGCCTGCGTGCTGAGAAGCGCCTCTCTCCCTACCCTCTCTCCCTCTGCTGTCAGGATTCTTGTCTCGGGGACTCTTCTGCTGTGGTGACTCATGGCATATTTCAGTTACTTATCTAGTTCGTTATCCACGTCCCCTGCTGGGCTTCGAGCTCCACAGGGGCAGGGGTTTTGTCTGATTTGTTCATTGCTGTGATGATTTGTTCACAGCCTAAAATAGAGCCTGGCACTCACCTAGTGTTTGGTAAATATAAAGAAACGTACCTCAAGGATTTGACCTAACTTAGGTGGTTCCAGGAGCCCCCCAGCGGTGTGTATGTGTTGTGGGGGACAGACTGATGGGCCCCCTGAGAACATCAGTGCTCAAGCAGGCTGTCTCTATCCTGCCCTAGACATGAACCACCCCTATGACATCTCCAGCCCTCCTCTGTGTCTCAGCCTGCCTCACTGCACAGTTTCTAGTGTGTTCGTTGAGTGACTGTTTAATTACTATCTGTCTCCCCACTGCCCAGACTTTGGCTTGGATAGAAGGGCCCAAGGCTCTCTCTGGCACCCTCTGTCACCAGGGTCATGCAGTAGTTAATGCTGATTAATGAATAGATATTGCACCTTCTGTTTGGAGAATTATGCACATTAGCACTGAAGACTCTGATAAGTCCTATGGAAAAGATAGCTATTTTTGTCTGTATTTTTTATGATCATAAGGTATTTATTGAAACATTTTGGTAATCTGGTCTTAGCCAAGGGTCTTCCAGCTGCAAAAGACAAAAGGAAAAATGAAATTGGCTAAATGGAAGGGGAAATTATTACCTTTCTTGAATCTGGGGTTCTTCAAGCCTGGCTGGGTCAAGGAGCTTTGCAAAAGTAGTGCACCACTGTAATCCCAGCACTAAGGGAGGCAGAGTCAGGAGGATTGTGACTTTTGAAGCCCAGCCTGGGCAAGTTAGTGAGTTAGCAAGACTCTGTCTCAAAATAAAAAATAAAAAAGGCTGGGGATGTAGCATATTGAAAAAGCTCTGAGTTCAATTCCCAATACCAAAAAAAAAAAAAAAAAAAAAAAAAAAAAAAAAAA